ATTCCGGACCCAGATCTCAGTTATGCATGGTCGGATTTCGTTCAAATTTGGTACATACATTAAACATAATAGGACCTTGATGCATGTCATTTTTATTTTTCGGATCAAGTTCGAAATGGCCGACTGGCGTCCATTTTGTTTTAAAGAATTCAGTTCTGGATCCATATCCAAGACATGTCTGAATTGATCAAGTTCCAACTTCACACACACATGGTACATCATGTCACAAATAGATATGTGCATTTGTTTCATGATCTGCTTAACAATAGCTGAATGATGGCCATTTTAAGGCCGAAAATGCATCAAAATCATGTGTTTTCACAATTCCGGAACCGGATCTCAGTAATGCATGGATGGATTTTGTTCAGATTTAGTACAATGTGTTGTACATATGCAGGTGCATTTCGGTCATGATCTGCTTTGAATGTATATGTCACTCAAATATGAACGGAACGGGGACGTATCATTGACAATGACTTGTTCCCCATGAGAAACGAAGCCAAAAGATCGCACTAAAACATCGGTAAATCTGGTCTTTCGTGTTGCTTTCACCATAAGGTCGCTGAACTGTCATATTTAAATGCTTTATGGTAATTTGAGCACATGGGCACCATCCAGCATTTTGATTGGTTGATTAGCGACTTGACCTATCTGGTCAATAAACATGCGTCGTGGGCATGGATAACATGGCGGATATTGTCTCATCGAGCGTTAACATGTAACCGAAAACATTTGCTTACGATAAAACTAAGTTGAATTTTACTTGCATTTCATAACAATTCAACGAATTTATTTTTTGTACGTTAATATAATCACTACTGAGTACTAATCAACAATTACAATGTCATGTGAACAGTTTTTTTGATTGACTATAATTTTCCAACATTTCATGACGTCTATTGTAGCACCAAATTATGGCCTTTCACTCCTCCTTGACGTCTATTTAAACGATTATACGGCATCTTGTCGCCAGCCACGAATGTCACACTAGACGAACTTGATCGATACTGCCGACCATTCCATGCATTTTTTATCGACGCACGACGACACGGCAATCGAGAAAAGTATTGTCCTTGCAACAATTCCGCGCAATACGTCACCACTATACAGTGACTGATTTAATTTTTATTCAACATTAAAACAAACTACAGTGAGTTGTTCTATGGTCGTATAAAAATAAAATAAACTACATTAAGATACAGTAAAGTTAATCAACTAAACAGAATGCTAAATAAAGCTAAATAATATTACAAACACATATCACAATAAACTTGTACAATCACATTAGAGTCATAACTATGGAAAGAATATTTTTATATTTGGTGGAGCTGCTCGTATATCATCTGCATACATTTTTGTATGTATTGTGCAGTTTCCCAGCCAGTC